GGGGGGGGGGGGGGGAATGAAATAATAGCCTGGGAGGGACTCTGCAAACCAGAAATCAAGCCTGCAGAAATATGAGCAGTATTTGACAAATTAAAAAATTGCAATTTTGCCATCTTGTTATTTAAGAACTCATGTTACAGATTCTGCAGAAAAATATAACTGGAAAGAACAATTATTTCCTCCACATTTTGAATTGTACCAGCTTTGTCATGCAGCTCTTTCTACTCTGCATTTTTCTATGAATCCATTTCTTACCACAGTTGTGCAGACTTTTGATCTATCCTAGGCACGCTAAGATTATTTTCCCTAATGCCAATTCATCTCTTTTCCCCAGATCACCTGGAGATTCTGCGCCACAGGTTTTGTTTAAGAATGAGGGTTGTCAGGGAGGAGACTCAGAATTGAGAGAGAGAGAGAGAGATGTCTGACGCATACCAGGAAGGAACCAGAAATCCCAACTCTTAAAATTCAAGAAAAAGAAAAACTGCCTTGATACGCTTATTTTGTAAGCTTTACAGAAAAAGTAGTTGATGTTTCAAGTAGCTGCCTCAGCTAATAATTTACTCATTTCAATACTGTAGCCTTTAAGAAAAATAAAACCAGCGAAGGAAGCAAAGTCCTCCCCCTCCCCAAATTTAATTTCCCATCAATTTTAACAGGCTCTCAGAATGGGTATGCTGCTGTCATTCATTCATTCATTCATTCATTCATTCATTCATTCATTCATTCATTCATTCATTCATTCGTAATTTTAAGGTCATTCCAGTCTGGTAGTTTAGCAGAGGATGTTAAAATATGAATTTCCTCCTGTTTATTAAGACTCACAGTCAAAACAATGAACAGATTGAATTGAATTGAAATGGAATTAGCTCCATGGCTGATGGCTATAGCAAATTTATTCTGCAACCTGATTTGCAGTGTACTGAACAATTATTCCAATCTTTAGGGAATCTGAACATGTAAATACTTCATGGAAGAGAATCTGCAGACAAGAAGCTTGGGGCAAGTTAACTCTGAGTAATTATTCATATTTGCTTTTCTTTAGAAAAGAGAACTTTTTTTAATATTATCAAAAACCTTATAAGAAGCTTATATGAATGAATGGGGTAAGGGGATGTTCAAAGACAGAGTAGAAATTGCATTATTTTGCTGCAATAAAGATGATCTAATTCTCACTCACCATTTATATTGCTTTAGAATCTTATGTTACTAGACTTCACTGTAATCCTTAGAGATAATCTCTACTCTATATATGAACAATTGAGGCTCAAGAAGATAAACACTACTGTTCAGTAAGATTCCATAAAGTTCTTAAAGTAGTTTAAACAATTATATGCCACTTTTCAAAACAAACCTTTTTCTAAGGTGGCTTAGAATTTACATCTAAACTATTTTACAGTTAATATCTAAAAAGTTAAAACGAAGAACAGCAGGATAGAACAAGACTAACAGAGACTAGTAAAAAACTAAAAAAAAAACACCCTACCTACATAATTAAAATAATTAAACAGTCACCAGACAGCAGAAACTAAAATAGCAGAAAGAAAATTCCATGTTTCAGCAATGGGAAAGTGACTATCTGTCCAGCCTCTATCAAGGATGTTGTTGTTTCAATTCTGCACTAAGCACAGGACTAAACTAGATGAATATCAAGTTGCCTTCCACTTCTAAGTTTCTGGATGTGGTAATCCAGATGTGGTAATCAAGCTGTAATTCTCCAGACAAATGAAATAAATGATACTCTTGTTATTTACCCAATCCTTGATTTACCCCTAAACAGGGCTATGATTTGCAAGGGCTCTTATATCCAAAATACAGGAAGTCCCCAGTTTAAGAACTGTGTCTGTCCTTAAGTCAAATTTGTATGTAAGCTGGAACAGTCTTATTGTATAATACTGTATACGTAGTATTGTGTAATGAACTTGAACCATTGTATATTTAACTCAAATCATTGTGTATTTAACTCGAATTTTGCTACAATAAGCTCTGTTCTTAACTATGGGTTGTCTGTAACCCACATGGTCTTAACCCAGGGACTACCTTTAAGGCCAAAAGCTACAGCACAAGCAAGTAATCTATTTGTGTTGTTCGTTGAGTAAGTGCCACATAAATGTTGATAAGAAGATGGGAGGGAGGGAGGGAGAGAATTCCCATTAAGCTTATGGAGGCTACTTAACAGGTCTATTTTTCTTTTCCTTACTCAATTTTTAAAAAGCCCTGAGAAATAAACTCCTTTCTGAAATTTCATTGGCAAAATTTGAGGGTGGGGAGAAGTGTAGGAAGAAAAACCAACCCACCCCAGCTTTACTATATTGACTTGCTTGCATTGCTGTACACAAACACACCTATATTTTCCACTTACATGTTTTTTCTTCATTGTGTCAGTTTTATGTGGAAGATCCAGTGGTATACTGGCTTATATTTATTCAAAGCCTGGAAAATGTCCTGCTGTAACTTAGT